TAACATTAACTAACTAACAAGGATGTAAAAAGTAATAACTGTCTAACCTTCTTAACTAGCTAAACATGATATATTTGCATCATTTAGCTAACATTATCTCCCTCCAACAGAATTAGTCAACATTCAAGGTTTATTTGGGAAATATTACAAAGTTGTTGTTTTTTTTACTTTGTTTCGCTGGTTTCTGACACCCTGCCGCTCTGCTCAGCAGGAGGTCTCCTTTCATTGATTTACAGGTGTAGCGTCAGCATGCGCATGGTGTGCTCGGAAAAAATATGTTAGTTCTCAAATAATGATGGGAATAATATAATCTGTAATTACAGATGCCATTTAACAGCCGTCATTCAATCTAAACAAAAGCACTAAACTGGAATTTTTTAATGTCCTCTTTTATGATAATTTTATTATTGTTCTAGACAGCATGGTTATACACGCTCTGTTATTCTGATTTTACTGAATGCTGCTAAACGCTTTCTGCTGGAACAAACCATTTTCAGTAAAAATGGTTGTTTTCATTTTGGTCTGGGAGTGGTAACATTTAACGTTTACTACCAAAAACAAGAATAAACAAAGATTTCATTAATGTTGTTATTGACAGGGCCCCCCCAACGATTTCATCTTCCTTTCTCTTTTTTTTCTTTGTTTTGTGGGGGTCCCTATCAGTCAAGGTTTATGCTATCTTGAAATGAACGAGCTAACTTTAGCATCAGATTGTGAAACACATCACCGTGTTGCTGTGGTTAAATGCGCCGGTCACAGCTTTTCTGCAAAACTGTTTGAGTTTTTGGATTGTGTGTTTGATAAGTTTTAAGTGAAAGGCGATAAAACTAAATGTCTCCTTTAGCCGAGCAGCTCGTTAGCTGAACGTACGTTTCAWAAACACACGTTCAGTTGTTGTTGTTTCTTGTTTCTGTGTGCATATAATTATACATAATGTTTACGTCAAAAACACTTTTGAAATTTAAAACACAATAAAAACTTGATACATTACTTCAATAAAAAGACTTGTCATGCAGTATACACTGATTTGTCTTAATTAATAAAGCAATAGAAAGGCAGTTATCCTATTAGATGTAAACTTTATCAGGACAATCTAATTGCATTAGATGCTAAAAATCAATAAAGTACAGATGCACACAGGTAAATAAAATTTCAGCATAACACCTCTGAGATCTAAAAACATCTTCCAAAGATAATTAAAGTTGAATATGATAATAGAAAAGTTTTTTTTGTTGTTGTTGTTTTTAAATACAAATTTCAAAACAAAATTTTTAGAGCTGTAATCATAATACCATCATACCGGAAACCGTGGTATTTTTGCCCAAAGTTATCACACCATCAYAATTTCACACCATCCCATGCCTAGTTATATATTTAGCTCCTGTTTGCTACTTGTAGCCACTGTGTTGCATGTTTCAATTTTACCAACATAGTTGTAGCTTCTTTAGCTATGTCAATGCAGGTTCTGTGGTTTACAGGAGTTTACATCTGATTCTTGTTAATGAACAGATAACTGTGCTGAAATCTGAATGAACCAGCTGAAGGAACACGGCTGACAGAACCAGAGGCGTTTGGATTTCAGTCAGGAAACATTGTGTCACTTCAGAGGCCCGCCACGGCCCATTACCCAGAACAGCCTATAATCTATTAGAACCTGGAGTTCTGCCAGAGCCCGGCTCCTGACTGGGACCCAGCTGACGRCTCAGGTCCTGCTGAGGGTAGATGAAAAGAAGCTGAAATAGTCCCACCGGAACCACCTGAGTCACAGCATTTTCATATCATTTCAATTTTCAAGAGAAACCAGAACAGTTTCAACAACAAGGCAAACTGCTTCATCATATCAGACCTCAAAGGTGGTAGGAAGCTGTGTGTGGGTGTGTGTGTGTGTGTGTGTGTGGTGGGGGGCAGGTTTTTCCTACAATGTGTGGACAATTTTCCCAAAAAAGCAGCCTCGTTGGGACTGAAGTGAATCGTGGGGACCAATTCCAGGTCCCCACGGGTCCAAATGCAAATTACAGGTGTGGGGTTAGGTTTAGGACCAAGGTTTAGGTTAGTTTTAGGGTCAGGTAGGTACCTGTGAGGTTAATTTTAGAGTAAATGGTCAGGGTTAGGATATAAAATTTTCAAAAAATGAATGGAAGTCAATGGAAGGTCCCCACAAGGATATAGAGACATAGCATGTGTGTGTGTGTGTAATAAGACAAGGCCAGAACAAAGATGGACAGTCAGCTGCTTCCCCTTGCAGCTCGTCTGGAGGTTGCCATGGAGGCGGCTACCTCAGGGGTGGTCTGACCATCAGCTCTGCCTCTGAATAAAAGCTGAAAATCCAGATTAAATAAATATGAAATAAARAGTCACAGCTACGGTGGCTCTGGATTCTTCAGCCAGTTTGGCTCCTGAACTCTGCTCAACACCTGTACAGCTGTGGAGCATGGCRGGGGCAGCATCATGATGGGGGTGTTCAGCAGCAAGGAAAGAGATGGSTCAGGGCTGAAGGAAATAAAGATCCTGAATGAAAACCTGATCCAGGGTGACTGCAGGTCCTCAGACTGGACTGAAGGTTCAACTGACCCAAAGAACACCGAGGGGTCAGAGAGAGGACACAGAGGAAGGGCTGGGTGATTATTGATCACGATTATTGATCAAGAAAAAATTCAGGTCGATCACTGTGATCAGCTGTGAGCCTCTTACTCGATCAAATATGGCGGAAATGTGCGCGACAACAGCCAATCAGAATCCACCTCCTCAACGCTCCACATCAGTTCATAAGTTGCTAAGGAAACACAGACGGAATCACAGAATTAACTAAACAAAATATAATCCAGTATAAAACCCTGAATCTCACAGAGTTCGGTTATTTGGGTGAGTTTCGGAGGTATTTTGGCCGCTGTTGCTTCCCGTACCTGCTGTTACCTGCTAACAGGCACGCAGGGTGAGCTCTGAGCTCCTCTCCCAACACAGAGAGAGGGGAAAAAAGGAAAAATGAGCCATGATGCGCAGCTCGCTAAAACAAAAACGTCCTCCAAAAATATGAAGCGGTCTTAGGKTAACGTTTAGGACAGAACAATGTCTGAGTTTTATCGGCACACGATGGGCTGCACGTGACGTGAAGACCACTTCCTGTCTGAGTCTCATCACAAACAGCAGCTGAGAGACGCTGCAAACTCCTGAACCCTCAGAAGCTGGGAGTTTATCCAACGTTTTGTCGTGTGCAGACCCAGATATTCTTTCAGTAAAAATGAAACAGCGTTGTCTGTTGTTTGATAAAACTCTGTAAACAGGAAGGGGTGGGTCGGTGGGGGGTGGGGTGTCCTTCCATAACAAAAGTAATGAGCTTCGATCCTATTCAAAGTGTGCACAAATTGCTGCTGTTTGTAGGGTTCATGTTTCTTTATGACATAATTAATGTGAAAATCAATTCTAAAACTTTAATTTTACAAAAGGGTAACTATTAATGTGAGAT